AAAAAAATAACACTTTTTTTATTTTAAAATGTATTTTAAATGCATATTTTGTTATTCCAGTGAAAGAAGAGGGATTTTTGTTCCCTTCACTTGTCTTTTATCTGTAATTAACAGTGTGAGCTGAGCAATATCCTTCTGATGTGCTCGCTGAACAAATGTCACGTTCTCAATAATTCATCTGACCTTTACACTCAAGATTAGTCGTGAAATATGAAGAAATTATTTTTTTAAGTCGCTCACAGCTTTCAGGGTTATGAAGTTTTTATATATATTTTTTGCTTTTTCCTGAAACACTCTGTATTTGTCACATTATTGTTTTTCTGACTCATCCATAAAGTGTCAACAAGCTGCTAAAATCTTAAAAGTTGTGCGTCTCCTGATCCGGCTGACACTCTGTGTGATGTGAGTTGGGAGGAGGAGGAGGAGATGATTGGAGGGAAATGAAGCAGAAGCTTGCAGAGGAGTTATCTCTTTTTAATGAGGGAAACGTAATGAACTGTAATTCTGTTTGATTGGGTTCTTCTCTCTGTTTACACACGTGTTTGCGCATGTGTGTGTGTGTGTGTGTGTGTACACACTCGTGTGTTTGTTTGTGTGCAGGCTGCCTTCTCAGATTTCCTCCAGAGAAGCTCCAGGGATTTGTCCAAGCACGTCAGAGTGGTGGTGAGTGTTAACGCGCTCTTCCTCCCTCGGCTCGTATCGTCTTGCATGTCGACATATCTGAGCCGCGGCGAGGCCCGGGTGATTTAACAGGACGTCCTTCCACTGTCGGCACGCTGAAAGTGTCCCTCGGAGATGATTTAAAGACCTCCTCAGTCACAGGATCTCTGAGGATTGAGCTAATGCATTAAAGCAATATTAAAGAGTTACAACATTTTACTCTCCAGGTCTAACTGTGGTGATAAAGTTAACCCTCCAGCTGCCCTTCGGTCAAACCCACAAGCAAAATCTACTATATTTTCAATTGAGGGCAGATGATTGTCTGTTTYGTTTCCTTAAATTAAAAAACAAACGTTCTTACCCTGCCCGTGTCCAATTTCAGGGGCTGCATTCTCCGAAGGAMCCRGTGGATCAGGTCCTTTGTTGACCGCAAAAATTGGAGGAAAGTGGCTGTGAATTTGGATGGTCTAGCCTTCAGCTTTACCAACCTTTAGCAACCGTGATGACGCTAAACATAAGAAGATAAGATAAGATAAGATAAGACTTTATTGATCCCGCAGTGGGGAAATTTGCACATTAAGAAATGAAGATAGAAAATAGATCAAAATTAGCAAAATTCATCGGCCTTCAAAGGATGCAGCCCCTGAATTTGGACACAGCCTGTGTCACTTCTTTGCTTCTTTCTAAACAGATCAATTTTTAAAGGAGACATATGATGCAAAATCCATTTTTTAGCTGATAAATATGTTTTGTTGTGTACTTGGAGTCTCTAGGAGGTAGAAAAGTTGAATATAGTCTCTTCTGATGCTGCGTAGATATCTTTATATTTTGTTTGAGTCATACTGTATGTTTCAGCCTGTTCAGTATTTTATTTTATTTTCTAAATTATTTTTGAACTATTTCATCAAATGTGACAGAACTTCTGAATAAAGTCTGGACTTACCAACAACAATTTGGTGGTCTTCATTCTCCTCTGGTTCTGSGTCAGACTCTGGTTCTGGGTTAGACTCTGGCTCCAACGTGTAAGGCTGGATGGACAAGTTTTCCCTTGTTGACATCTTTGAATTCATTGGTAAATAAAACATGTCTATATGTCGTAAACCCCTCTATCAAACTGGAATGGACCGCTCTGGAAGCTGGAGGGGGGCAAGGTCTGAAGGGCCTTGTTTGAATTTAAAGAGACAGACTCAAAACGAGTTGATCTGAGACACACCTCAGAACAGGGTCAGGGCTTGTGGAGTTACAATAAGGAGGAATTCAGATCAAAGAATTGCAGTTCTACTTTATATAAACCCCAACTGAAGCATCATATGTCTCCTTTAAAATGTTCTTTCATATAAAGAAAAGCTCAGTGACTTTCTAACCAAGATTACTGTAATAGGAAATACAGTTTTTTCATCTGTTTGCTGCAGCAAATACACAACCTCTTTAAGTATTTACAGCACAAATACACCGTGTTCATCAGAGCCCTACAACACAAAATGAAATCAGGCTCAATCACACATTTCCTGAAGGTTAGTATTTTGTTACCGGAAAGAATCAGAGCGAAGTGTCGCGACAGATTTATGAATCATTCAGGTCGACTCAGGATGAACCGGGGCTGTTTTTACTCAGAACAGGCAACTTCAGGCAGCGGCTGTTTTCAGCAGCCTGTCACCAAGATACAGTTAGTTGCCATTTCTTCAATCAAATCAATGAAAGCAGCACTAAAGAAACAAGTCATTTTTTTCTGTTTTATTTTAATTTTTCCAGTGTGATGGCGCAGATCTAACACCGAAGATCCAGGAGCTGAAGTTTCAGTGCATCGTGTTTCTGAACATTCCCAGGTCAGTGAATTCACTCTAACACAGAAACCGTAAAGTCATGTCACAATTTCACCTTTTTTCTTGTATTTTTTTWAATCAAAAACCTATAAAAGTCAAAAATGTGCAGACATAAATCAGAAAAATGAGCTTTAGTGTYATAGTTTAGATGTTGGGCTGTATTTTTAAGTCTTTTTATTCACACAGCACCATCTGTTATAAATGATGAACATGTTTATTATTTCCCTCTTGATTTGGAGAAACACACTCCAGTGAGCTGCTCACTAATCACATCACGTTGTAAACGTGTGCAGGTACTGTGCGGGCACCATGCCGTGGGGAAACACCGGCGACCACCGCGACTTCGAGCCGCAGCGCCACGACGACGGCTGCATCGAGGTGATCGGCTTCACGATGGCGTCGCTGGTGAGAGAGACGAACAGGAAAGCGAACAGGAAGTGTGCTTTGTTTGATGTTGACCGAGGCGCATGTCTCTGTTGTGTCCACCAGGCTGCGCTGCAGGTYGGAGGTCACGGAGAGAGACTTCACCAGTGTAGAGAAGTGGTCCTCACYACCTTCAAAACCGTACCTGTCCAGGTAATGAGCACCACGACCACCCAGGGGATTACATCTGCTATTTTCAGGGGGAAAAAACGCATCTGTCATGAAGCAGTTTTGCAGAAATGAGCACCTGAGTGAAATGAGTTTTATTGGTGGGGAAAAGTGGGAACAAAGAGGCGAATTAAAACCAGAGTTTTGGTTTGTAAAAAAAAACGAGTATTTGAAGCTTTTAAAGTGTCAGTCTGTTGGTTCAGAGAGTTACATTGTGTGAAAGAGGACATTTTTCTATATTTCCATGCCTGTAGTGTTAAAACTGTCTATTCTTCCCTTAGCTAACTTTTAAAACTACAATCGTCATTTTGAACAAAATCCATGGAGTTTGAAAATCATAAAACAGAGAAAATATGCATTTAATTGATTTTTATAAACCCCAGCTGTGTGTGTGTCTGCTCTCAGGTGGACGGCGAGCCGTGCCGCCTGGCTCCATCCACTCTGCGCATCTCCCTTCGAAACCAGGCCAACATGGTCCAGAAGAGCAAGAGACGCACCTCGGTGCCCCTGCTCAACGAGTGAGTCACTCACACAGATCCAGACACAGGCCATCAAAGTAGGCCAGCCGTGTTGCACAAAAAGAAAAAAATAAAATAAAATTACCTGCAGAGTGAGTCACACGATGTGTCCGGAGAGCTGACGGTCACTCCGAGTCCCACCTTAATCTCTGACATGTGATGCTGTGGCTTCTTATTTACTCATTTGTTTCAGGAACGAAGCTGTTTTTTTGTAGTGAAAGTTAAAACACTCCTAACACCCTCTGTCTGCTGTATAACAGTTTATAAATGTATATGTGAGTCTTTTCTCTGCTTTTTGTAAWGAGCTACAGTAGCTGTGTGCATGCTTTAGAACAGTAAAGTAACTTTTCTTGTCGTAGCTGCAGTTTTTAGTGACTGTGCTATCACTGTTTGTCCACTTACCTTTTGGGCTTTTCTCCGTCTTTCCCTCCTTTTGTTCATCCTTTTTTCTTTTCTCATCCTTTATCCCTCTAACGACACATCCTGATTTTTTTTTATTTTCCACTTTTTTTGTTTTCTCTCTCACCCCCCTCCTCTCACTGCCATACAATTCCGCCTCTCTTCTGTGTTTGTGTGTGTGTGTCATGTGTGTGCGGCTGTAGTATTCAGAAGGTGTGTGCAGCTGATCTGCGCCGCCTCTCTGCTCCCCCCGACTCCTTCTCTGTGTAAGTACCTTTAACCCCTTTGTCAAGTGTGTGTTCTCRTGTCTTTGCACACATCTGAGCGAATGAGCGGATGGTGTCGCGTCATTTCAGCGTCAGTCAGGTTTGACGGATATTTGAGTTTTTATCGTAGTAGTTTGAAAAAAAATCACCATAAGCAGCACTTTTTTTTATTGATTTAACCAGTTTTGACACCAAAAAATCTTCACATTTGTCCATTTTTAGCTTTATTATTTTTAGCTACCAAATTTAATCCGATAAAATTACTTTGTTTTTAACCAATATGCTCTCAAATGTTTGATTTAAAGCTTTCATTGCTTTCAGAACAAATTACACAATAAAAAAAACCAAAAAAGTAAAACAAACCTCAAATATGTTTATCTTGCAATGATTTCAATAAACAAGTTAAACTTCTGTCATTACCTTTATATTATGGTAAACTATTTAAAAAAAATTTATGTTTAAAAGTCACAAATCAGAATTTAAACCAGGGCTATTCAACTGGTGGCCTGCAGGCCACATCTGATCCGTGAGTGACCAAAGTTCGGCCTGCCAATCTTAAGCCCAAACCCCCATTTTTCTACTTTTATTCCTACCTTTAATTAAGTTTTTTTTAGTGAAACATAGACGTGTGGTATCTACAGAAACGTCTGAATCTTGACAAGAAGCTGGTAAAAAACATTTCTATGAACATCCAAGACAGTTTAAACTWCAAGCAGTTKAAGATAAAACTATGAAAATGAAAATWAAATTGGTTTAAAAATTTGGCAAGTCAGAGATATTTGTGTCAAATAAGAGTCTATTTTTGTTTTTATTGTTTTATCATCACTACTTTTATTCCATAGGGTTCTGTATGTTGTATTTATGATTAAACGTAGCAAAATAAAATACTTCAAAGGTAAAAGATTTTTGTAATACTTGGTTTATTTACATAATGACTTTAATTACTGGATGTTCGGCCCATGTGCTGCTGGTCTGCAGTAACTGTGGCCCCCAGGGCAATTTAGTTGAACAGTCCTGATTAGGGCTGCCACGATTAATCGATTAATCGACGACTAATCGATTATTAAAATAATCGATGACTAATTTAATAACCGATTAATCGTTTTCTTTTTTTTTGTTCTTTACTTTGTTTTTCTCTCCAAACTGCTTTGACACCTTCCACTGCCACATCTGCCTTTCTGTCCTTGACACACATGCACAGTAGTGGTAACTGGGGTAGGTCGTGGACGTCACAAGACATTATACAGACAGGCTCTGGTATCATGGCTACCTGACAACGGAGCTCAAAAGTGTGGGATCATTTTAAGAAAATGAAAGAGAAACCTGTGCAATATCTGCAGAGCAGAACTTGTCTTCTACAACGATTATTTATAGTTAGCATATAGCTAAAATCTAACCATGGTTATATAATAGCAGCTGCATTCTGGCGCGATAGGTTGTATATTTTATATTCAATTAAAATATGATCCGATTAGTCGACTAATCAAAAAAAAATAGGTGATTAATCGATAATAAAAATAATCGTTTGTGGCAGCCCTAGTCCTGATTAAAAAATAGCCAACTTTTAGATCAGTTTAATGCTTTATTTCAAGTATTATAAATGACTCTTCTGTTAGGCAATTTTTACACAAACACTAAATTTTAGGAATTAATGCTGAATCATTCTGTAAAAAACGTTAAACCTTCATATTTATATAAAAAATGACCTAAAAGCCAAAATCATGCAGATGTTTGACATGGAGATATTAATTTATTTATCGTTTAAAAAATAATAGAATCATCAAATATTGATCAAACCTTCAGTTTCTGTGTAAGTTTGTTGTTTTGTGTGCAGTAAGAGGACTATGTGTATGGCAGCATGCTGAAGTCTTCCCACTTCTCGGTCAGCTTTTGTCTTCATGTCTTCTCTGCCGTCGTCCTTCACTTTTAACAAGAAAACTCTTTATAAAAAGGCCTCAGTTTATGTGACAGAACTAAAAGTCAGGTTGATGCAAGGATGTCCGAGCTCTTTATTCTCTTATTTTGTGCTACTGTTCCCCCCAGTTGAGAGGCTTTTTTWAATTAGTTAATTTTGGAACAAGCAGGAGTAAAATAAGAAAGTGTCATTCTCGGTTTGTGTGTCTGTGAGTGCATGCACGCATACGCACATCCTCCTTGTTGTGTGTCGGCTTTCATACGTGTGCGCCCRTATCCACCTCACGTGCGCCTCTCTTCCAGCCCCCACGCCGTCCCGGACCGCTTGCGCCTCCGAGTGAATCGGATCAGCCTGCAGGAGTACGACAGGCTGCAGTACGACAAAGAGCGCCTGCGGGACATCTGTAAGGCTCCTCCCCAGTCCCACCTTCTGTTTGGTTGTGTTGCTCACGTTTCTCCACCCTGAAGAGTGCGTTTGTGTGTTTTTCCAGCAATCCCAGTAGGCATCGTGGTGGTGAGGGGAGACTGTGACCTGGAGACCTGCAGACTTTATATTGACAGGCTGCAAGAGGCAAGTCTTCGTCCCCTTCCTCATCATCCTTCTCGTCTGCTCCTTCTCCTCTTCATTATTATTTCATAACCCTCGTGGCGTCATCCCTCCTCTTGTAGTTATTTATAGATGACTCGCTGACCTGTGAGTTCTTCTGACTTGAACACGTGTGAAAACTTTTAACTCTAAATGCTTTTTAACCCTGGAACCTGTCTGCTGCTAGGATATACACCAGGCGCCCTCTACTGGCCACAGAGTGCACTATCAGGTACATGGCTGGTTTATTTAGATTTTTTAAAAACTCATTTCAGATTTTATTTCTAGCTGTAAGATTTTATAACATCCAGTAAACTCTGAGACATTTTCTTGTAAATGACAAATTTACACTCATAAATTCAGCATACGGTAAAATTGACACACACGTTGAGCAAGATCCTCACACACGAGTAAAATTAGATCTGAAACTCCTGATTCTTGTCGTCTTATGAACTTTTCTGCTTATATCTGTTTTCTCTTATCAGTCCGACTGTTTTATAATCATGTCATGGTTCAGTTCAATAGAAAACAATCCCAGTCTGTGTTTTTTTTTTTTTTTTTATCTCTGCAGGATGAAAGCCGAGGCGTCCCCATGTCCAGTTCAACCAGCAGACTGTCTCCTCACTGGAGCTTCCTGGATTGTAAGTTCCTGAAATGCTTCTAGTAAAACAGAAGTTTCACAAAACTCTTTTTCCTGCCAGCTGCATCTTTAGCAGCTTTCTACCAAAATACCAACTGTCCCTCCTCTGGACTCTTACGCCCTTATTTATACAGAGATGTCTAGGATAATGAGATTTCTATTTACCCAAAAGCAATGACATTCTAACCGGATTTCTCAAGGGTTGGCAGCATAGAGGTAAATATTAACTGAAGCAGCGGCCGATCAGTACTGTACATGTTGGCTAAAAAGCAATTAATAAGGTCTGATTATGTAAAAACTGTAAAAACTATTAAAGGGGCAATATCATGTAAAATCAACTTTTTTGAGTTTTATATCATGTTATAATGTTATACTC